GACAGAGGATGAGATGGCTGCATGGCATCACCGACTCGATGGGCATGAGTTTGAGTAAACTCCGGGAGTTGGTGATGGACAGGGAGGCCTGGCGTGCTGCGATTCATGGGGTTACAAACAGTCGGACACGACTGAGCGACTGAACTGCACTGGACTGAGCTGAAGAGCAGTTCAGAAATCCAGGCAGCTGTGATTTAGGCTCAAACAGTAAAGGCCTTGAAGGGTGATACGTTCATTTTATTTCTTCAGTTAGTCTCATTATTCCCCAGAGTATTGATTCTGCTCTCTGTGGCTCTGGCAGGTCTTGGAGGTGTTCATGTCTCACCAGCTGGCCTCACTTTAAAGCCAGGACTGTTGATTTCGAGTGGCCAGAATTCTTCCTGGATTCCTGGGGCTCAAACTGACCCCTCCGCCTCTTCTCTACCTGGCTTCCCAGGTGACTGTTGACACCTGCCCGCACACCTGGAATCTCCCGGAAGCCTCCTCTGCTGTCTCTGCAGAGGTCCCCAGGAACCTCTCCTTCTGCACCCCGAACCGGGGATGAGGGACCTCACCGCCCACCCGTCCTTTACTCGCAGACATGGCCCCGCCCCCTCCACAGTCAGGCCTCCCCGTCTTCCTACACACAGCGGTGCTGTCCTCCTACGAAAAACAAACGAGCCCCAGCCCCTTCTTTCCGCACTTGCCCTCTAACTCCAGCCCACCTCTCCGTTGTTTGGTAGCAGAGTCTGGACCCCTCGGCCCCGGCTCCCGTCCGTCCCCCTTCTCCTGGGCTCCCCGGGGCACTGGGCCCGCTCAGCTGGCGTGTGGACCACCGGTCCCCCTCACGCCCACCTTGGCACTCTGGAGGTATTGATGAAAGCATATTTAAATTAAGAAGTACTGGCCGACACAGATGCACTTCGTGAGTTTCGCCGCAGCCTCGGTTTCGTCGAGAGTGGCTTATCAATCACGGAGCCGCTGGGACTCTCGAGTTCTTGGGAGAGCAGCCTCCCCGGGCCCGGCCTCTCTGGGGGCTCCAGGTGGGAGGGCCTCAGTGGTCGCTGGGGAGCTTGTCATGAAGCGCAGGGCTGTGTAGTCAGCTCGGGTCCTGTAACAGACCCACATGGGCGCCTTGTTAGGAGCAGAAACGTCCCCCGGGCAGCTGGGGGGCGGGAGCCCCCACCCCCGACACACGGCCTTCTCACTGCGACTGCGCGTGGAGGCGGCGGGGCCTCTTCTTACCTGGCCGATCCGGGCCCGAGAGCTCCGCCCGCAACACAGCGACCCCCAAACGAGGCTGTGTGGGTTTCTCTCAGAGTGTCTGACTCTGTGCGACCCCACGGACTGTGGCCCGCCAGGCCCCTCTCTCCATGGGGATTCTCCAGGCCAGAATACTGGAGTGGGTTACCATGCCCTCCTCCAGGGGATCTTCCCGACCCAGGGAGTGAACCTGTGTCTCCTACATTGCAGGCGGATTCTTTACCGTCTGAGCCTCACTCCAAACACCATCACTTGGAGTTGGTTTGCTCCCTGGAGAGATGGAATGAGAGAGGAGACCCAGGTACAGCTCAGGGTGAAAATTAAAGCGGAATGGTACAAGAATCAATATCCTGAACATCTAGGCACCCTTCTGAAAACCTTGGTCACCAGGTGTACGTCTCCAGGCGGTAAACCCGAGGCCACAGCACTGGGCAGTCAGATGATGGCATGGGAGATTCCGGGAGCCAGCACACCCGTCCTGGGCCTGCCCATTCTAGAGAGCCACGCTTTAAATAGGAAAGAACACCAAAGGTCACCCCAAATGCAAGGCAATTTCTAAGGTGAAAAACAGACCAAAACGGGCTGGCTCAGCATGGAAATAAAGGGAACTAAGAAAAAATACAGATGCTCTAGAGAGCAGAAAGAAAACGTGTGTGTGTGTGCATGGACACACAGACGTGTCCAGGTGTGTATGAAATTAATCCCCGGGAAGCGGTGGGACCCAGAGAGGCCCTGGGCCAGCGCTCCAGCCGGTGCAGGGCCTGCTCCCCTGTGGGGCCGGTCCTGGCTCCCTCATGCCCTGCATGTGCCGCTGGGGCGGGTCACTGAACCTCTCTGCACCTCAGCTTCCTTGGCCCTTATCAAAGGGGGCGTGATGGTGCTGTTCAGAGCACAACAACAGAACTCTGGGAAATATAAACAGCATGGCAGAATTTTTTAAAAATCCAAAGTTGAGAAATCAGTACAAAATATTAATATCAAAAAGACAAGGTAATAGAAAATAGAAACAATAAGAAAAAGAGACGATAAACCTGAGAGGTCTAGTCATCAGAGCTGAAAGGCAGATGGAGAGAGGAGACAGAGCGGGGCCTCTTCTTACCTGGCCGATCCGGGCCCGAGAGCTCCGCCCGCAACACAGCGACCCCCAAACGAGGCTGTGTGGGTTTCTCTCAGAGTGTCTGACTCTGTGCGACCCCACGGACTGTGGCCCGCCAGGCCCCTCTCTCCATGGGGATTCTCCAGGCCAGAATACTGGAGTGGGTTACCATGCCCTCCTCCAGGGGATCTTCCCGACCCAGGGAGTGAACCTGTGTCTCCTACATTGCAGGCGGATTCTTTACCGTCTGAGCCTCACTCCAAACACCATCACTTGGAGTTGGTTTGCTCCCTGGAGAGATGGAATGAGAGAGGAGACCCAGGTACAGCTCAGGGTGAAAATTAAAGCGGAATGGTACAAGAATCAATATCCTGAACATCTAGGCACCCTTCTGAAAACCTTGGTCACCAGGTGTACGTCTCCAGGCGGTAAACCCGAGGCCACAGCACTGGGCAGTCAGATGATGGCATGGGAGATTCCGGGAGCCAGCACACCCGTCCTGGGCCTGCCCATTCTAGAGAGCCACGCTTTAAATAGGAAAGAACACCAAAGGTCACCCCAAATGCAAGGCAATTTCTAAGGTGAAAAACAGACCAAAACGGGCTGGCTCAGCATGGAAATAAAGGGAACTAAGAAAAAATACAGATGCTCTAGAGAGCAGAAAGAAAACGTGTGTGTGTGTGCATGGACACACAGACGTGTCCAGGTGTGTATGAAATTAATCCCCGGGAAGCGGTGGGACCCAGAGAGGCCCTGGGCCAGCGCTCCAGCCGGTGCAGGGCCTGCTCCCCTGTGGGGCCGGTCCTGGCTCCCTCATGCCCTGCATGTGCCGCTGGGGCGGGTCACTGAACCTCTCTGCACCTCAGCTTCCTTGGCCCTTATCAAAGGGGGCGTGATGGTGCTGTTCAGAGCACAACAACAGAACTCTGGGAAATATAAACAGCATGGCAGAATTTTTTAAAAATCCAAAGTTGAGAAATCAGTACAAAATATTAATATCAAAAAGACAAGGTAATAGAAAATAGAAACAATAAGAAAAAGAGACGATAAACCTGAGAGGTCTAGTCATCAGAGCTGAAAGGCAGATGGAGAGAGGAGACAGAGGGAGGGAGGGTTGGGGAAAAAGACAGGAAATGAGATGGTCATGACCAAAACCTCTTCTAGAACGAGGGCCACAAGGCCAGACTGACAGGGCCGGCGTGCTGCCTACACGGTGCATGGGAGGGGAGGCCGGCTCCTTCACCGTGGTGTCCTGGGTGGGAGGATAAAGTGGAGATTCGAGGCTCCCAGAGATAGCAGAGCGGGTCACACACAGGCCCGGAGCTTGAGTGCAAAGGAGAGAAAGCCGCTCTCGGGGTGTGGGCTGGTTCTGGGAAGGGCACCCCACTTCCCGGGCACAAACCTGATGCGATTTAGGTGCACTTGTCACTCCAGGAAAGGAGGGCAGGGCAGGGGCGCCGACCTCAGCGCAGTGCCTCTGAGCCTCCCCTCTGCCCCGGTCAGGACCGTCTAGTGCTTTTATCTCTAAACTAAGGGAAAGGGCATTACCTTTGCCCCCCTCCTCTCCACCCCTCTTCCCTGGTTTCCTCTTCCTCTCTCCTGTCTCTCCCCCTGCACCTCTGCACCGGCACACTTCTGCTGGATCTATTTCTGTCTCTCCTTCTCCCTTTCTCTTTCCACAGAAGTCTGTGTTTGCCTAATAATTGGCAGGAGAGATCTTTTTTTTCTCTTTTGCTTTTTAAGTGATGAATAGTTGGCATTAGATCAAAGGCAAGGCCTGTGGTTTTCTGGCTGCCCCAGAAGGGCGTTGCGGCTGGCAGCCGGCCCAGTGCCTGGTGACGGGCGTGTGCAAAGATGCCAGGCTGACAGGTCACTGTGTGTGTGTGTGTGTCTTCCTGTCCGTGTGTCTTTCAGGCCAACAGCAGGCTGAAGCAGATTGAGAAGGAATACACCCAGAAGCTGGCCAAGTCTTCTCAGGTAAGAACATTAAACAAAACAGCAAAACCAAAGCAAACAAGAAAGAAACCTCAGCACAAAGGGATTTGTACTTCACAACTCAACGCACTTCTTTTCAGTCTTTTTATGGATGAGTATCGTATTTTGATAAGTATGTGGATAAATAAAATAGGTTTTTAATATTTCAGTCTCAATTTTTAAAAATCAGGCAAATCGAATCATTTGAACCAACACACACAGCCAAGTCACGGCACACTTGTAGTCAGATGTTGTAAAACCAGCCTGTGCACTTGGACAAGCCCAGGCCAAACCACATTTCACAAGGGCAGGAGATACACACCTACACTTGTGATAGAAATACTTGTGATACCATCTGAGCTCTTCTGCAGTGTTCCATTTTTCCTCACCTAAATGCTGTTTGCACTGTGGTGCCAGAGAAGACTCTTGAGAGTCCCTTGGACTGCAAGGAAATCAAACCAGTCAATCCTAAAGGAAACCAGTCGTGAATATTCATTGGAAGGACTGATGCTGAAGCTCCAATATTTTGGTCTTCTGATGCAAAGAGCTGACTCATTGGAAAAGACCCTGATGCTGGGAAAGATTGAGGGCAGGAGGAGACGGTGTCAGAGGATGAGATGGCTGGATGGCATCGCTGACTCAATGGACACTTGCTGTACTTAGTCGCTCAGTCGTGTCCGACTCTCTGTGACCCCGTGGACTGCGGCCCGCCAGGCTCCTCTGTCCATGGGATTCTCCAGGCAAGAACACTGGAGTGGGCTGCCATGCCCTCCTCCAGGGGATCTTCCCAACCCAAGGATCGAACTCAGGTGCCCCACATTGCAGGTGAATTCTTCACTGTCTGAGCCAGCAGAGAAGCCCCTCAATGGACATGAATTTGGGCAAACTCCAAGATGCAGTGAGGGACCAGGAGGCCTTTTGTGCTGCAGTCCACAGGGTGGCGAAGAGTCAGATACAACTGGGTGGCTGAACAATAACAGCAAAAGGCTGCCTAAACAAGATTCAAAACAGCAAGTATACCGAGTTAATTTAGCAGCTCAACCGTTGACTCCTTTCGGGGGAAAGAAAATTTACAAGCCCAAGCCCCAGCGATCATGTCTCCTGTGTGTTGTTACTGCAGTAGCTTTAGTAGAAGGTTTTCTGCACAAGTTGTTATAAAGATCTCCTTTGGTATCACCCAGGGGATTCCAAGCATTCCTTAGCTGTGTGAGTCATTCTGGAATAAACAAATGCTGATTTTCATCTTACCGATGGCGAGATTAAGCCATTTCATTTTGTAGACATCCTATCTAATGATTTTTTAAATCAACTTTTCTTAGTATTTTCGCCATGAGTACAGTGAGATGTGGCAGTCAGCTGAAGTGTTTGTGCCTTTCTGCAGGTCAGCGAACAGTGGCATTACTGGCAACATCACAGCAAAGCGATAATAAAATTAAGAAATTTATGGGTCCCTGATCATATTGACTGGAGGAGGAAATGGCAGCCACCTCCAGTATTCTTGCCTGGGAAATCCCATGGACAGAGGAGCCTGGCAGGCTAGAGTCCAGGGGGTCGCCAAGAGTTGGACATGACTGAGCGACTATAAGACTGCAGCGGCAATCACGGTGACACCTCCAGTCCTCGTTCACGGGAACTCGGGTTAGAAACCATTCCTGGCCCCATTTTCTATTTGAGAAAACTGAGACTCGGGTGAGGTCACGCAGGTTAGCACATGACTAAGCCAGGAGCCAGCCTGTCTTCCAGCTGGAACGGAAGCTCTGAACCTGACACCACTCATCTGACCCAACCCTCATGTTGTTAATATGGCAAAACTCTGCTGAATAACTATGACATTTCTTAGGTTCTACAGTTATTGCTAAAATGTGCCTGTATTATATAGTCCCCATCCCATTGGGAAAGCAAGAAGTCTTTGTCTAAGTGAAGACTGATGTGTTTATCTGAAAGCTGAAGGCAATTCTTGATTGCCCTTTTCCCAAGAAAGAAAACAGGGAAATGTTCTTTTTAATCCACTGAGAAAGGTTCTTCTAATCAAAAGAAATCTTATTACTCCAAGAGCTAAACTAGAACATGAAAACACCCCAGCTGGCATCCCCTCACAGCCTGCTTACGGTGCTTTATGCTAAAAGGGGAGGCGGGAGGCAGCTGAGAGTGAGAAGCAAGACTGCTGATGGAAATGCCAGGATGAGCAGGGTGTTTCGGTTTATCTCAGGGAAGGTGTGAAGGAGCCTGACTAGTCCTCGGTAAAACAGATGGAATCTCAGTGGTGTGGAAGCACGCCTGAGTCTTCTGAATACTTGCCCCACCACTTGGGTGACTGCGAGCCCGTTACCTGCCGCCCCCGGAGTTCCTGCGCTCACTTGTGAAGCAAGGAGCAGCGGTGCCCTCAGAGCCGCTGGGCATAGGGAGGGCCTGGGGCCCGGCGAAGGCCTTCACGCTGTGAGTTCTCGCCGGAGCTCGAGGGACAGGAGAGGAGGGGGCGGAGGATGGAAAAGAATGGGAGGAGCAAGAAATTGGTTATTTTAAATTTACTTTGGGGTGCTCAAGAATTAATGAAACCTCCCTCCAAAATCTGGAGAGGCGGTGGGGTGCTGACCATTTCCCCGAGTAGGGACATGCAGGAGGCAGGGAGCAGAAGTCAGCTGTGGCCACCGTCACGCACTGTGACCACCACCATCCATAAGTGAAGGGCAGGGCGACCCCCGGAGAGAGGGTCCCCCCCGGCCTGACCTTCTCGTAAGAGGCAGGATGGGCTGACAGGACGAACGTTTTGTTTGCGCACCACAGTGTGAAGCTTGACATGCGTGTGAGTGCACGTGTATGCTTCCATCTGTGAACTGGCGTTTGAGAAGCACTGGCCTACAACCCAGTCAGTTCAAAGAAGCGGATGATTTAAAAATAAACGTTATAAGACAGAGCTGTGGGCTGACTTTCACTTTTTTCTTGAGATAGTTTGCTGGAATCTCTTAACGCATATCTCAGCTGAGGGGAGTGCCAAAAGCAAAGCTGCTTAACTGTTTATCAGATTTTTTAAAATCCTTCTCTCAAAAAAAAAAAAAAAAGTAGTAAGATGAACGCATTAGTAATGAATGCATGGTACCTAGGGGAGCATCAGGTTAAATTTGGAAAATATTTTAAATATTTTCCTTCCTTGAAGGAAGTTACTTCATCCTTAAGATTTTATCAAGCTGTAGGACATCAGGGCTCATGGCCTCTACACCCTCGCAGACCCGGGACGGTGCCTCCCAACTCCCCCCCAGGATGCTCCCCCCGATGGTGATGCTGGCACCCTCCCAGGGCACATTCCCAAATACAGTTTCCATCAGAACTGCATGTTTATTCTTTTTTATCTTAATACTACATATTAACCTTGCCTTTTCATCTTTCATGTGGTCTTCCCCACTCAGCTGACTTACCTGGTGGCCATTTTTCAAAGAGAAACCTTGCCGTCTTACAGGAATGTAGCTAGTGTGTAGAAATGCTGGCAGAGCCCACCCATGGCCCCCGGCGCCCCTGCTGGTGCAGAGCAGAGCCCAGGCGCAGCACCCAGCCCGTGCCCCCGGCCTTCGGTCGCCCTGCCCAGCCACCCAGAGGGCATATGCACCCCCTCCCCCTTACTTCCAGGATCTTCAGTGTTTGCCAAACCCTGGCAAGTACATTGTACTTTAAAGAAGAGTTTTATGACAGTCTTGACTATACTATGATCTGAAAGACAAGAGTTAAAAATGAAAGCCTACCCTCTATTTTGAACCCTGTTACTTTTGAGATCTGGTAAGACCACTGACATTTATAGAGTCGAAATTGCTTGACAGTAATGATGAACTATCATAGCTTTTAGTGGTTAGGTTGCTCCCAGCATTAGCTCCATATAACTTTGCTTTTGCTTTCCCAGATAGTAATTTTTAATATCCACGTGGAAATGTTCTAATCCACTTCCTCTAAAGCTAATGCAGGGTAGACGTCTAGTTGAGTTGTGGCATTTTGTTTTTCTCAGAAACTTTTTGCATTGTTAGTCTATGAAAAGACTGTGTGTGCGAGCCCAGTCATGTCCAACTCTTTATGGACTGTAGCTCTCCAGGCTCCTCTGTCCATGGGATTCTCCAGGCAAGAATCCTGGAGTGTGTTGCCATTCCCTTCTCCAGGGGATCTTCCCAACCCAGGGATCAAATCTGTGTGTCTTGCGTCAGCAGGTGGATTCTTTGCCACTGAGCCACCTGGGAAGCCCTGTGAAACCCCATGAAAAGGCTAGATTGTCTCAATATAATCCTATTATATTATAATCATAATATAATTGTGGGTCATTGTTCCACGACTTCAGTATCTATCGAGTGCCAGTAACGTGCACTGAAGAGAAGATAGTCGTCTCACATGCGAGGGCTGCAGCCGAGACCTGATTAATCTAGTTAGCGTGATTACTTCTCAATCTCAGAGTAAACCTAAAACTGCTTCTAAACTTACCCACATTTCAATCACCTCTCTAAATCCATCACATCTGTCAGCCTCTCAAACAATTTCATTGTGAGGCATTTTACCTAAAGTGTTTTTAAACTCTTCCTGTATCATCTTCATAAGTTTTAAAATGCAGCTTTCCAAAGATAATCTCATTATTTCTCCCAAAGGAATCTCATTGTTCCCGCAAAGAATGTAAGGTTTCATTTTCTAACAAAAGCAAGCGTGTTCCCTTCAGAACATCCTGCCCTTCACCCGTTGTTCCTTCCAAAACATGCAGTGACTTCTTTTTGATGAACGCATGTCGTAAATCTTCTGAAAGGAAGAAACACATATCTTGTGTCCTTGTGGTCATTTGAAGAGCTCCCAAATTTTTTCTATCTTCAGTCTTGGTCAGTTAGAAGCAAGTCTAAATCTTCGTAATTTGCAAAGACACGAAACTGTGCTGTAACAATGCATCGTGTAATCACGGTGAGGGATATACAAATAGACACGTAATGAAACTGCACAGAAGTAAACACACAAGCATAGTGAACACACTACAGAACTCAGTTCATCACTTCTACCACGTTTTAGTTTACTCAACTTGAAACACTGCAATAGTCATTGAAATAGTTATTTTTACTATTTGGCCCCAAGTTCTTATGAAATATCCATCTTGGGTTTCATGTTGGGCCAAGGAAATCTGGCTCCTCCTTATCTCTGGCTCCTCTGGCTCTGTGACTGCGAGCTGATCATTCTGTGCCTCAGTTTTTGACATTTACTCTAAGAATTTAACCTTCCCTGTTTTGTAGAAGTGCTATGAGAATGAACTGAATTGATGCCAACTTGGAAACATTTAATCAGAATTCAAAAAACAGATGAAAACATCTTCATTCTCAGTAAATGAATCCCTCTGCTCCTTGCAGAAGATTCCAGTTTGCATTTTAAAAATTAATATATTTTGTAATTTATTTCACACTTGTCTTCTATTTGATTATTTTCAAATTCTAAGTGTTGAACTTAGTCACAGTGAGCTTGTGCACTTCTCAAAGCGTAAATGTTCCTTTTTGGGGTAAATGCTCTATTTTTGCCAGTGTGCGTGTGCTCATTCAGTTGTGTCCGACTCTTCAACCCTATGGATTATAGCCCACCAGGCTCCTCTGTCCAGGCAAGAATACAGGAGTGGGTTACCATGCCCTTCTCTAGGGGATCTTCCCAACCCAGGGACTGAACCCGCATCTCTTGTGTCTCCTGCTTTGGCAGGCGGGATCTTTACCACTAGCACCACCTGGGAAGTCCATGTCAGTCGTTAAGAGCTAATGTTTCTACAGGACTTGGCTTCTGGAAGACTCCATACAGTTTCTGTTTACTGCCTCATAATACTGTACTCTAGTTTTGTTATCGAAACACAGTTGAAAAACTGAGCTTCAAGGAAAACACAGAACTAAGTGGTCCAGTGTTTGTCACCAACCAGCCCTTCTCCAGTAGACCCAAAAGTATAAGGACCTAAGGCAGGATGAAAGTTGTTTTCTCTTTTATTAGAAGGGAAAACCGTTCCCTGCTTCTGAAAGGAAGTTTGTTGAATTGCTGTTGAACTTTGAAGGAAATGGAGACATCCAAACCCAAAGAAGAGTAATGCTCCTAGTAAACCTATTAAAGAGAAAGGGCCCTCACCCGGTTATTTGAGACCACGGAGGGGACCCAGTGACGGAGAGTCAGTCCTCGAATGTAGAGAAACCACAGCAGTCTCTCTGTGACTCAGGAAGGAAGCAACCTGTTGGGAGGGATATCAGGGTAAACTCCTCTTCCATCCCAAAACCTGTTTCAAAGGAAGACAGGGCAGGAGCTGGCTGAGAGGCAGCGCCTGGTACGGCTGCCGACCTGCGTGGCGGTCCAGACTCTGCCTGTCTCCTGGTCCCGCGCTGGGCTCTTTCTCTGCCCCCGTTTCTCCCTCTGTGGAAGACGGGCGATGACGGTGCTGGCCGCTCAGTAGTAACTGACACAGGAATGGAGGTGCTTAACACAGTACACGAGCGTGAGCACACACTCAGAAATCGTTGTGTAGAACTAGGTGGCTATGAAGAATGGACTCTGATTTTTTTTGGTTATTAGAGCTCAAAGTATTATGAAAGGCAAAATAGCTTTTTTCTTTTCCACTCCAGCAAGAATGTTTCTCGGTAAAATAAATCCTGACACATTTCATATTTTCAGGATCACAGATGTTCTTTCCCCTGATGAGTAAATACTGTGGAATGTTATAGTGGGAACGTCTTCCAAGCGCGTTTGGTTCAGCAGTTGCTCACCATTCACAGCTTTCCCGTGTGCAGTCTCATGCACTGGTGCGCGGGGCGCTCGCTGCAGCCGCGCCTCTCTGCGAGCGCGCCAGGGAGGCTGGGCGCACGAGGCGGGCGTGTCCGAGGCCGAGTCGCAGCGCGCACTCCCGTTGCAGGTGATCGCCGAGCTGCAGGGCACCGTCTCCTCACTGCGCGAGGACAGCAGCCGGCAGCAGCTCGCGGCCGAGCGGCGGCTCCAGGACGTCGTGCGCAAGTTTGAAGACGAGAAGCTGCAGCTGATCAGAGAGAACGAGCGAGCCGTCCAGGTAAGGCGCTTTCGCGTGGCTGCCGGCGGGCGAGGCGGCCGCGGGACCTGGTGTCCAGCTCGCCTGCCGGCCTCGCGTGCACTGGGCTCTGATGTGGCCGGCCCTGCGAGGCCACGTGCCCACGGGGACAGACACCGCAAGCCCAGCACACTCACAGCCGACACATGCTGGAGAGCCGCCCCACGTTCACCCTAGGCCCCTTGGGGCCGCCTCTGGCCAGAGCGAGCGCGTTGGCACCACTGGCGCGTAAAGGCACAGGCAGCCCGTTTACCTGCCCCTGCGCACCGCGTCCCGCGACCCTGCGGGGGCCTGATGGGCGGACACCCGCTCTGTGGCGGCCCCGCCTCCGTCGGCGGGCTGAGCCCCTGGGCCTATCCGCGGTCACAGGGCGTCGTCCTGGCTTCACCGCAGAGAGCATGGATGAAAGCCTCTGCGTCTTGCGGGGTTTAATGTGAGGATGAGCGTCCGGAGACTTTACAAGTAACATTTAAAGAGAACAAAGTGTGTATTAAAGAATCCCCGGCAGAAGATGATTTCTCGGTCATTTGACTTTATTGCAGCGGTGCTGAGCGCATGTAGGTAATCATATCAGCACAAAGCGCAGAAAAAGAAAAGGAGCGCTTGGGCTTTCTCACGCCTTTTCTGCCCAGTCCCTCCATCTTTCTCTTTTCTGGCCTTTTGTAGGCCATCTGCGTGATTTGGGGGAAAGTCAGTGTCGGCATAGTTTGCTTTTTCATATATACCCCTTACGCCTGGACAGCGGGGAATAGAAGGAAAAATCTTAAGATGTGGACAAAATCTTCGAGGCCAGTATACCTGCCTCCTGACCAGAGGTGAGGCCGTATTTTGTTGTTCATGAGATTTTTCCCTGAGTTTTTACATCTGTGAGTGTTTCTTTCCCCCCTACATGTGATGAGACACAAAAATGTGTTTCTTTTTTCATATTCTGATAATTTTTTTAAAAAATCTTTGAATTTTCATTTATAAATGCAGGAAAAAGTCCACATTGGTCTGTAGAACTCTTTTGCTTTGTATGAACTAAGTTGACTACTTTCTTTCAACTGTTTTGCTATATAAAGATTTCATTTTAAGTGAATTTCTTTTCCACTTGAAATCCAAATACTGTGTTGTAGGTAATTGCCAAATTTTAAATAAATAATTGGATCCCAACATATGCAAAATGGAAAACATCAATTTACTCCATAACAACATAATTTCTAGTATTGTTACTTAAAGATTAAAAAAAATCTTGAAAGAAATATAATTCATATAACTGCCTAGTTTGGTTAATTTTTGCAGTTGTAATCCGTTTACCTGTTAAAACAGAAAAACCTTCTGATCCTAATTTCCAGCCAACCGTCAAATCATAAAGACTGAAGCTGAAGTTAAATGATGACAGACATACATTGACACACATACACTGGGCTTCCCTGATGGCTTAGTGGGTAAAGAATCTGCCTGCAATGCAGGAGACGCAGTAGACGCAGGTTCGATCCCTGGGTTGGGAAGATTCCCTGGAGAAAGAAATGGCAACCCGCTCCAATATTCTTGCCTGAAAACCCCAAGGACAGAGGAGCCTGGTGGGCTACAGCCCAAAGTGGGGGGTCTCAAAGAGACAGACACAACTAAGCACGGAGGCACAGCATACATACACACATATACACACACATACATACACACATATACACACACACATACATATATACATATATATATACACACACATATACACACATATATATTTGTAGTATATAATGAGCAAAACTTAGATACCTGAAAATAATTAAAATTACAGTGTAGATAAGGTGTGCTTGAGTTTTGATTCATTCATTTATACTATGGTTGAAGTGGGTTGAAGTGCATGACTTTTTCTTTACTAATCTATATCAGTGTTAATGTGTTAACACTTGTTGCCTTGCTTTTTTTTTTAAAGGCTATGTCACAAAAAATAATAGGAATGATAGCTAGTATTTCTTCAACANTGGTTGAAGTGGGTTGAAGTGCATGACTTTTTCTTTACTAATCTATATCAGTGTTAATGTGTTAACACTTGTTGCCTTGCTTTTTTTTTTAAAGGCTATGTCACAAAAAATAATAGAATGATAGCTAGTATTTCTTCAACAAGTATTGTGTACCAGGCTCTCTGCCAAACATTTACATACATCCCATGTTGCATTGTCTCATTTAAGTCTTATAAGTATTCTTTACAAGGAAGGCATTTCCACTGCCCCATCTTACAGATGGAAGAGTCAGCGCTCTGGGGCGAAGTGACCACCGAGGACAGGTTCAGTGTCTTCTGACTCGAGAGCCTCGGCGATTTTACCGTGCACAGAAGCCCCGTGTCCACACTGCCTGTGACAGTGAGGCAGGGCCCGGGTGCATCGGCGAGCTTGGGAGCCCTTGCTCTCAGTTCCCGGCTGCCTGAAGGTGGGCGGCACCTTTGCAGCAGTTGTTCCTCTCGGCGTTTTAGTCGTGTTTGTTTTGTAGACGCAGATACACGGATGGAGTTACATCCTCAGAGAGAGACAGTCACCAAATAGTTTTCTGAGACCGAGTACCTTTGTCTGCATATACATTCAAGTAAGCTGACGAGGCCCTACTATTTGTAGTGTTAGATATTAATGTACTTAAATGCTGGTTGTCAGCAGCGCTGTAAGAACAGGAAGCGTGTGTCTGCCCACCTTCCGGGCTGGGGGATGGGGCGGGCGCTAGACCCAGCAGCAGGCCGAGCCGTCGGAGGGCCCCCGCGGGTTAGGGCACGCGGGCCTTTCCTCACAGTGAGGCGTTAGGCGAAAACGGAGGTGTGTCCAGCAGGCCGAAAACCCGCTCACAGGGCCGCCAGTCTGGAAAACAGCCCGGAGTAGCTCTCACTGTTCACTCACCCCAGAGACACCGTCTCCAGGACCCGCCCTGCGTGGCAGGTAAAGGCGCGCCCGGAGCCTTAGCCAGGAGGATGCTCCTTCTCGCACTCACGCCTGTCGCGGGGCTCTGGTTGCGGGAAAGGCCGCCCCAGCACCAGCATCCCGGCTCCTTTGCGCGCTGTTCTTTCGCCCAGCACATCAGCCGACCGCGGAGCAGTGCAGAAAACGATGCCGCAGAAGGGTACTTCGGGGTCTTAAAGGTGTTCACGAGATCGTTTTCAGTGAAAACGCAACTTACACAACATGACGTACGGAAGGGGTTGTCTTTGCCCCCCAAAAAGTACATATAAACAGAAGAAAGGCTGGAATTATGTGTCAGCATTTTGCTGGTGGATACTCTTAGTGGTGGGATTTGTGGTAATTTTCCTCTCATCTTAGCTCTGTACTTAAGTTCTTAATTAATCTATTTTAATTGGAGAATAAGTACAGTATGGTGATGGTTTTTGCCATGCCTCAACACGAGTTGGCCACAGGCACACAAGTGTCCCCGCATACTTCAGTTGTGACAACACTTAACAAGAGAGTAAACCTTGTTTGCCAGAAAAGAAAACGCCTCGGCCTGAAGGAGTTCAGAGGTGGCCGTCAGGGAACCCTGCAGGCGAGACCCACAGTGGGCACGAGCCTTGCTGTCTAGGAGACGAGGAGGGGAGCGCGCTGTGGAGGGGAACTCCTGGGGCGTAGAGAGAGTTCTGGAAACACGGCCACCCGAGCAGATCCTTTACGCTGAGGTACACCCGGCCTCGAGAGCGGAAGTGCTCATCACTGTTCACTGCTTCAGTTCATCCTCAGCTTAGAGGCGAGCTTCTGAAGCGATCTGTCGCTGCTGTGTAACAGCCGCCCCAGAACCCGGGGGTTTAGAGCAGCAGCTGTTAGGCGCGCTTGGGGCTTCGCCTGGGGAGCGCGGGCGGCGGAGGCGGGCGGCGGCTGTCAGCCTGCGTCTCCCGGAAGTTCGCGGGCTGCGGCGCCCAGGACCCTGCGTGGCCTCTTTCGTTTTGTTCTACGAAAATCTGCTCGATTGTTGTTGTGAAAATGGATAGTGGCATATGCTCACGAATAATTCAAAGTGCAGTGGGGAAAGGGAAAATGCCTGGTCGCCGCAGAGTTCATCCCTCAGAAGTAGCCCACCGCCTCCGCAGTCAGGGGAGGTCATTTCAGGTGCCTGACTCTTGCAGGGAGAAAGGAGAACCAGACGGACTGGTGAGCTGGCTTAACACTCTAGAGTCTGCATTTCTGTCAGGCTTAGAAAAATCTCAAGTTGATTTTACTTAAATTCAGCAGATGGGTGAATCCAGAGTTAAACAGGAAGAACTGTTAAACTTTGGGGCAGAATTTGAGTTTTGGCTGAAAACTGAGTTCATTGGAATAACATGCGTGCTCCCTGACCCTCTTCACGCCTCTCGCCTGGGGTGTGCACTGTGTTTATGACACTCACACAGTTTGTCTCTAACTGCAACCTTACTTAATACCCACACTGTCTTTAAAGGATGTGGTGCTTCCCACCAGGCCTTTTATAATCAGCCTTCCCCACTCCCACCCCGAACTTCCTACTTTCATGTGCTTCCAAATGGGCTGGATTTCATGGGCAAGTGGTTCCTTCAAGACTCACGCTGCTGCCTTCCCCGGGTTTTTCCATGTTTAAGAATGTCTTCTGGGACGTCCCTGGTGATCTAGTGGTTAAGAATCCATGTTTCAATGCACGGGGTGAGGGTTTGGTCCCTAGTTGGGGAGCTAAGATCCCACCTGCCTCACAGCAAAAACTCCAGAAAAACAGAAGCAATATTATAAAAAATTCAGTAAAGACTAAAAGTGGCCTGTATAAAAAAAAAAAAAATCTTTAAAAACAGTTATAAAAAAGCCTGCTGATTAACCCTTATGGTTGAATGACCTTCGAGATGGACATAGTGTCCTTATCTTCATTTTCACCTGAAAGCTTAGATGTTGCTCACCTGGCACATAAAACTGCTGTGGGGAAAACTCGGCAAGGGCTGAGCTTTCCCAGGTCGGTCGTTTGCTTTTTCTAGGGGATTCCCGAAGAAGTCTGTCTTTATCATTAAGCTTAATAGATTAACACGGATAAAT